ACTTATATCAAGCTATAATAGAAGAAGGTAATACTTCAATACTAATGGTAAATTCACGACAAATACATCAGCCATTTTCGTTAATGAATGAGAGTATGCTGCTGAAATAGTGGGGCTTCATGGGCAAATGGGTGATCCTTCATAAAAGTGAAGACATTACATTGTCAATAGATTCTATGGTACTGCTCTAGCATTAATTCCCAGAAGTCTTTTTGTGACATAGAACCACATCCTGGAATAGATCTGGAATTATGCAAGACAAGCCACCAATTTTCGTACGCCATTAAGTCCCATTCATTCACCATTTCATCCTAAGGAAAACTGACCATTTAGTCCTCCCACTAGTTTGACCAAAAGTTGGAAATTTGAATGTCTTAACTCACACGAAGCTCCTTCATTATCCATTTTAGCGACTCTACTTTTTTATGTACCAGTGGAGTTTATAGTATTTTAACTCAGGAAAAACTTTATGAATCTAAACAGCCAAACGTTTCAAATCCGCTTGCACAATATTCCGAATAGAGCGCTGAATCTATTTGTATAGAACCAAACATATTTCCCAGGGTACCACGTTGCCATGTCTTGATTTAAAAGGTTGGTGCAACTTTCAAAGTAATGCGGGCCTTAACGCTTAAAGTCAAAATGATAAGCAAAGTAATCCTGCACTATTATTTGACACATGAAGCTCCAGTCTCGCTTGCCGAAAGACAATGAATGTAACTTCACTTCAAAACGTTTCGATTTTTGCGTATTGCTGATTCTCTGCAACTCTCTCGAAATTACATAATATAACTTCTTGTTATCTTTATCTTTTTGTCAATTCCGCCCTATCCTTTATAGCAGTTTGGCTTCTGATCCTTAATCTAAGACTGTACTTATATTCCTCTTACACTTAGAAAGAGCCTATGCAATCTTGCTTTCATTAAGCTTTATTTTTCGAATTAAGTATTGTTTTCGCGACTACCAGTAAATCAGTAATATGGGATGTATTTGCTTAATTTCGTTTAAGGTGATGAAGGACTGATAGAAGA